CGGTGAGCTGTCAGCGACTAACTTCGCAGTAAACTTAAACTTTAAAGGACCCATACTAAAGTTGCGATATTTTCCGTACACCTCATAATCAAACATGGCTTCTCGAACAACTCTGGCCCATAGAGGAAAAGTGTGCCGTACAGCGACAACTGCTCCGTTTAATGGTGCCCCAGCAGAGTCACTAAGTGAGTAATGGGATAAAACGAGATGAATGGGACTATCATCCGATGTTCTGAAACTCTTGCCAAGATTGCAAAATTTTTTACTTTTTTGGTTTAATTTTGCTCTAAATTAAATTTCTTCACATACACTTTGGTAATCACAGTCCTTTGTTCATTCGATTCATTCCCTCGCTTCCACCACCCTCAAAGTTCGTCGGACTACTTGCGTGTAAGTTCGGCTGGAGCTCAAAAATTTTCGACTTCTTTATGAATGTTCTTAAATGCTGATCGAATCGAGTCTTTCCGGAATCCTGTGATGGCCGTGTTCGAACGTTCCCGCGCCGATAAGGGGGAGTGATATGATTCCATAGAGGCCTTGTACAAAATGCCCGACCTCAGAGGGATAAGAGGATACGTAAGCCTTGGCCCGAGTCGAATCAACACTAAACTCGTAGTAAACAACGTCACTACCACTGCACCACCCGCATCCTAAATTTAAAAAAAAAGTTTTTGAAATTACAACGAAGTGTTAGGTAAAATTGTCAGACCATCTTAGTATGTAATCTTTTTTGCGTCCATTTTAATGACTTTTCCTAATTTTTTGATATAAGAAGTTCGTCATGTCTAATATTCCTGGACAACTTTAAGTCCATTTGCCTTCGTTTTCAATATTGATCGATGTTTCCTCGAGCTTCTGCTTTTCCCTTACTTTTGACCCCACTTATTTTTTGATGACGTCATCATGTTCATCAATTCCGTCGAAGTTTCCATGTTCTCGCTTATTGTTTTTAATTGTGCTATAGGAAATCGCGCTTTTCCTTTGTCACCATCCTCTTTTGCTATTCTTAACGGCGCGAGAGGATTCCATGTCGATTCTTACTTAATCGAATTTTCTCGATTCTTTTCTCTCGAGAACGACTAAACCACTCTTCACAAATTTGTGTTGTTATGTGCCAATTCTTCTGAAGTCAATTGAAACTCCGTTAAGTATGTGGCCTCTCTCCAGACAGCTTCAGTTCATTCGTGTTTTTTCCCTCTTGCTTCAATTTCCGGGATATACCGTCATTGTTTTTTAGAGTTCCGCGTGCGTTTCGTCATGTGATTTTATTTTTTATAGATAGTCTATCGTGCTACGAGCACTGAACCAGAAGCCAGCAATGGTGGTGAGTGATTTTTATCGATTTTTTCGGTTTTTTATGGATTTAACTCTCAGTAATCGACTTTTATGTTTGGTCTCAATTATAACGACTTTAATCTGTTTTAAATGTATTCGCTTTTCTGCAGTTGTTTTTTGAAGCGGTGTGATTTCACTGGTCTCATTGACTTGGTCCAGCGAAAGATGAACGTGTTGGTGTTGGTGAGGCAAATGTCCTTAACAATAATCTCTTTTTCTTGAGGTTACCGAGACTTTACTTTTAGTGCTAACCAATTAATCAATGATGTAAAATCTAAGTTGCCCGCTTGAAGACACATCATCGTGAAAATTTTTAAACATAATTTACATTCCTTTTTACGCTATAATATTAGGGAAGATGCATTGTGGTATTTTGATAAAATAAAAGGATAACGCTCTCGGCGTTGATCAATCCTTGAGGGATGTGCCATGCATTCGACTTCTTTAAGCATTGTTGGAGGTGATTGAATATCTGGCTTTTACAATGACTCGTGGTGGCCTACCGATGTATCGTGCCAGTGCTGCTATCCTCCCAGATAAGTCTGGTAGCAATTTCCCGACTCCGAAGGGATGGAAGGCTTGGTGGGCCATGGGCGTGGCGATCGATTCTACGTGTGTTGCATGGCGCCTCCGACCACTATACCACACGCGCCCTTTATTTTCTTTTTATTTCTTTCTGTTCTTAAACGGTATTCGAAGAAAGACAACAGTCGAGACCACAGAAACCTGTCTTCTTGAAAAGTGAATTTTGGAGAAAGACTGTTGTTCTTCTAAAGATTTGATAGATACCAGAGTCGATAACACACTGAAATTCTCATTCGTTATAAATAGGCACAACAATAAAGTAGTAATATATCATTTGTAGCATCTGTACACCCGAGTTCCCAGAGGCTTATGATGCGAGTCGGAGCTGCCCTCTTTCTTTGCTTTTTACTTATTGTTTTTAATTCTTCTTTATGATTTCGGTCTCCTTTTGGCTCCATTGCTTCGTAGAATTACGGGAAACAACAGCCTTTTCGTAGCAAGCCCTTCCTTTAATGTTTTTGCAAGGATGCCTCCTTTATTTTTTCTTTCTTATTTTTCTTTTTCGGTTTTTTTCTTGTTACCTAGCTCCCAGTTATCAACGCTATTGGACTGGGTATAAGCCACGATTGAAAGGGAATGGTTAGAATTCGTAACATTTCAACCACACACTTCGTTCCTGTGGCGTTCCAGGATTAGCAAGTAAGCTTTAATCCCTGCGAGCAAAGAAACAGCCTCATATTTTTGTTCAGAATTTTCACTAAGTACGTTACCACATCTTCGAATTTTATCGTTGACATTCTTTCTTGGCTAGTGATTGTGCTTCAGTCTCATCACCTATTCAGTTCTCTTTCACTTTTCGGCTTTTTTATCGGTGAAGCCCCTAAATGCGGTCTTCTTTTCTTGGATCGGGCTCCATGAAACATAGTGCTTTTTGCTTCCCTCCCTCTGTATTCGATTTCAAAACGTTGGTTGCGTCTTTGTCTTGCTTCTCTGACCTCGCAATATCCGAGCTTCACGCTAAAATGAACTGCGAAGTATGGACGTAAAGTTCAGTAGCAATTGTTTTTAACTTCGCTCATTGTTATTGTGGTCTTTCGAGCTGTTCGTTTCCTTTTACTCAGCTTTAGAACTAACTAATTCATTACGTCGATTTCCTAGGATGAAGCAACGCATAGCTTTAACAACCATCGGATAATTCGATGTTTTTCTTCAATAAGCAGGTACGAGGTTGTTATTATAGAATTTATTAGGATACAATAGCTGACGTTTCGCCGGTTTCGCCTTCTTCAGAGCCTGGAAAGGTCAAATTGAGATGCGATCTGCCCAGCCAAACACTTTCATAACCTTAGCAGATAGAAATTAACAAATAAATTTGTATTCGCATAAGAAACAGCTTCATTTAAACACCTACCGTTCATTTGTTGTAAGTATTTCAGTTAGTTGATGGTTAGCAGCCGCACAGAGTAATACATGGGCGATAGCTATGTCTGTGTCAGGTCATTGGATTAGCCTGAAGTATGGCGCCAGGTCAGGCGTGATGACGAGACACTCCTCCTCACGGTTCATTTTTGAATTTTTGAAATTGATCCAAAACGCTTCAAGTGTTTTACGTGCTGATGTTTTCGATTTGTGCGTGAGGATAGTGACTCCTACTTCAAAATCTTTTCCGTTCTGTTCCGCATCCTATGCGCACCTAGTGGAGTGTTTGGTTTTAATTTAGATTTACCGACTAAGTGTTCTTTAATGCGGACGCATAGCGTTTCGTTTTTTTTCTGTTTCGCCAACGTATTCATATCTCACGCTTTACAAGAGATTAGATAGACTGTACCCGAACTCATGCAATCACCGTCTCTACCGTTAGGGCAAATTATGCAGTTTTTCGTTATGCATAGACGGTCATGTAGGCGGTTGCGAACTAGCTGGCGTATTAGAGTGTCCGGTGGTATTTCTATCGCTTTTGCGGAATTTTCTAGACCGGCCCTTACCATGTAACGTGTTATAGCTGCACTTATTTCGTTTGAAATAAAGGACAAGAGGAACGGAGCCTTGTTTTCGCTAGAATTATCGCTCTAGGGCGTGGGCTTTTCTCTATGCCTATGCCGAGAAACTACAGTTTCGTGGGCATTTGAAATGGCTGTTTGGCACGCCAGTTTCGAAGATCCTTCCCTCTGATCTCTACCTGTGCACACGCTAGCAGCGGTTCGAAACATATTTCTTATAAGCACCCTTTTATTGTGTGAGGGATGAAAGGAGAGGTAATGAGCCACTACATTCTTACTGCTCGGCTTTCGACACCATTTGGTGTTGTAGCCGTTTTCGGATAGGTTGATTTGAACGTTGAGAAATGGAAGCCAGTTTTCTTTCGGTTTCTTACGGGTGAATTTTATGTACTCTGACTTCAACGTACATAAAACGCTAGAATTGAGACACGAAATAAAAAGGAACAACGAGAAGTATGGGCATTACCACCACCTCCATTTCCTCGGTTATTCTTTCGACAGCAAGACCCAAACGACAAAGTCGATATAAAATTTCGTATATTTTCAAACGAAACTCTCAAACCCTCAACCACTATGATAAGTGATAAGCGTGGAGAGTTTGTAGTAATTCTTCGCCAGTTAGATGTCGATATAACGGAAAACATCTTGAAGACGCATCACTTTATCGTGCATCTACTGAAAAGGAATTCAGAAGTCAAAATCAAGAACTGAACAACGAATGGGTCAAAATGGCAAGCGCAGTAGGTTTAAAACCAGCAGACATTTCGCATCTTAAGACCGAAGTGCCGACATGTCCCGTCTTATACTTACTTATCAAGACGCATAAGTCCGGTTTATAGATCTAATCCTCAACCAGTTGATTAAACATGTATCAGCCTATCTCACAAACACCCAAATGTTCCTAGACCGTCTGCGCAGCGCACGTCCCATCTGTTATTTAGTCGTTCGACGTTACAGCCCTTTACACTAACGTGTCGAACGACTCTGCAATGCAAGTCATCCGCGAGCTTTTTGAGCAACACGAACGAGCAATTAACATGTATGGCTTTTCGATTAAGCAGCTTATGGTCCTCCTAAAGGTCTGTTTAAACTGCTCGATCTTCAGATGGTCCGCGAAATATTACGCGCAAAGGGTTGGCAATGGGACAGCGACTGGCACCAACTCTTGCCGTTGCCTTTATGTCTAAAGTGGAAGCACCAGTAATCGATCTCACGCCATTACTCTACTGTAGGTATATAGATGATTGTTTTGTCGTCTGCTCCACACAACAGGAGATGGACAAATACTTTGAGTTATTGAAGGAACAGTCAGTGTACATAAAGTTCACCCGTGGGAAACCGAAAGAAAGCTGGCTTCCATTTCTAAACGTTCAAACCAGCCCATCCGAAAACGGCTGCAACACAAAATGGTATCGAAAGCCAAACAATAAGACTATTCGAACCGCTGCCAGCGTGTGCACAGATAGAGATCAGAGGGAAGGATCCTCGAAACTGGCGTGCCAAATGGCCAACTCAAATGGCTACGAAACTGTAGCTTCTCGGTAATTCGATAATTCTAGCGAAAACAAGGCTCCGTTCCTCTTGTCCTTTATTTCAAACGAAGTAAGTGCAGCCATGAAACGTTACATAATAAGGGCCGGTCTACAGAATTCCGTAAGATTGATAGAAATACCATCGGACACTCCAAGGCGCCAGCTGGTTCGTAACCGCCTATATAACCGTCTAAGTATAACCAAAAATTGCAATTTGCCCTAATGGTACAGACGGTGATTGCATGAGTTCGGGTACAGTCTATCTGAGCTCTTGTAAAGCGTGCAGGGGTGAGTACATTGGCGAAACGGGTAGACCGCTCTGCGTCCGCATAAAAGAGCATTTAGTCGGCAAATCTAAATTAAAACCAAACACTCCACTAGGCGCGCATAGGATGCGGGAACAGAACGGAAAAGATTTTGAAGTAGGAGTCACTATCCTCACGCAGGAATCGAAAGCATCAGCGCGTAAAACTCTTGAAGCGTTTCGGATCAATTCCAAAAATTCAAAAATGAACCGTGAGGAGGAGTGTCTCGTCATCACGCCTGACCTGGCGCCATACCTCAGGTTAATGCCATGACCTGACACAGACAGAGTTACCGCCCAGGTATTACTCTGTGCGGCTGCTATTCATCAACTAACTTAAATACTTACAACAAATGAATGGTTGGTGTTTAAATGAAGCTGTTTCTTATGCGAATACAAATTTATTTGTTAAGTTTTATCTGCCAGGGTTATGAAGTGTTTGGCTGGGTAGATCACATCTCAATTTGACCTTTCCTGGCTCTGAATAAGGCGAAACCGCCGAAACGTCAGCTATTGTATTCTAATAAATTCTATAATAACAACCTCGTGTTTGCTTATTGAAGAAAAACATCGAATTATCAATCAATGCCGAGGGTAGAGGAGAAAGCCGGTCTTGGGAACCGTCGGATATATCTACAAATATCTCTTTAGACTACTTCTCTTACCTTTTTAGCAGAAAAGAACTGTTATACATTTAATATAATGGACTATACTCGTATAATTAGCCAATCTGTTTCTTCTAATCCTTTCGTGCAAAATTCGGCACATTCCATGCGTCTCGTTGCCCCACTGCTGGCGTGTATGGTGGTGCTTAATTTCGCATCTAGTAAAGTCTGAGTCTAAACTTTGCATCGTTTTGATGGTCTACCTAGAAGGTATGTCATCTTTCGAACGACCAAGTCGCCATTATTCTCGCCAGTCGGGTGCCGACCTCTTGTCATAAGTACCGACCCACACGGTTTAGTCACTTTTTATTTACTGCCTATTGGTTTTTCATGGCAGGGTATGATGTGAAATATAGCCACAATAATGCTGTGATATTTGCAAATCTCCGGACTGCAGTTGTCTCCGGTGGACATCAAACACGCTACTACTCTTTTCGGGACTAGCGCGTTCATCACCACACTCTGCGTGGCTTCTTCGTTTCGCCTTTCTCTCAGCCGTGTTTTATAGGTGCAATCAACAATTACGCGTCAACGGAATTGATCTGGGGGCACAAATCGGCATTGAACCCAGTTAAGCTGAAACTATAGTATAAATCAATTTTTATTTACTGTTTATTCTTTTTCCATGGCAGGATATGATCTAAAATATATCCACAGCGATGCTGAGATACTGCTGAGATAGGCGATAAGAAGAACCCGCATGATGTGGTGGTGAACGGGTTAGCCCGGTTATTAGCGCGCTCGATCCCCACTGCACCCAGCTGCTGTGCGGAGTTGGAGTTTGAGTTTGCAGATCATTATTGTAGTTATATTCCACCCGTTTGATTTGAGTTGCACATTCGCTGAATCACAAACTCGAAGTATTTTTCGTAAAAGTGGAGTTGAAATTTCACTTTTTCCCATTCAGAATGTTTCCTGAACATTGTTAAAGTGTCGTCCAACTTTCAGTGCCGTAACAAAGTGCTGACGTCGTCACGTTAATTACAAATTTTTAATCTTAACCCTTCTATTTACTGACTTTTTCTTTTCAATGGCAGGGTATGTTGCGAAATATAACTCGTATGAAATGCTGAGATATTTGCAAAACTGCGGACCGCAGGTGTATGCAGTGGGGAACGAACGTGCGCTATTGTCTTTACCGGGGAGCAGCGCACTTCACCACCACACCACAAGTTTTTAAGCCTATCGGTTGTTTTGTGGCATCTTAGAAGTATTCAATGGCAGTAGATATTCTTCTTTGCCTAATACTTCCGCTTTCATGTCGTTTACCATGTTCTTTAAGCTTTCTGGTTAAACAGAATATTTCGTTTTCCATGTCATCTTTATTTGTTCCCCACCTTCCGTCTGGGTTTTGTAATCTCGGCCTTTTTTTTAGTTCATTTCCAGCCGTATCGTTTTCTGTGCTTCATTGAGGTTTCCAAGCTTCTTCTATTCTTAGGCGCCAACGTCATCTACAAAGGTTAAATTTAATAGGAATTTTCCATCAGTGCGCTTACATTCTTGTCACAGTGGAGCTTTGAGTGAACTTAAACCCATTAAAACTCAAAATTTTGTCTCCTTTCACTAGTTGTCACCCAACTATCTCTTAGACAAGGAAATTCAATTGGTGTGGTACTGACGCTAGTTCTTCTTATTTAGTAAAGCTAAGCAATTGGTAAAGCACCTATTTCTTTAAATAATTTTTAAAGCAGACACGTGAGGATGTTCCCAGGTGTTTCCTATGTCTTGTTGGTATGGATGCGCTCGGTGTGAATCGAGAAGAGTTCTTCTACCTCCTGGTAACTAGTTCTCTTCAAGGGCACAGCAAATTCATCAAATTGCTCTTTTTAGGTTTCTAGGAGGAAATGAGGAAGTCAATTAGGCTTAAATGAACAAGTTAAATGATGAAATTCCCGTCTCATCTGAGAACACTATCTCCCATATAGAGATAAAGTATATTAAAAACTGTTCAGATGTAAGTGCAATTACTTCCCATTCATCCCGAGAATTCCAACGAATCGAGTGAAATGGGTAGATAGTAACTGCATTAGTCACCATCAGGACACTTCGTTTCTTTTATTGTCGTCTTGAAACGAGAAGGACAAGACAAATCGTATTCATCGTTTTTTGTTTTCAAAGGCAAGCACACGAGCAATTCAAATCATTTATGTTCCTCTTTTATATAAGAATAGCATAACGCCGACGAATGGTTGTGCGAATGAGCGAAAGCCCTGTGTTAATCATACGAATTGATTGACGACGATTGACGAATTGACTATCTCATGTTCGTGTTTTCTGTTTGAAATAGGAAAATTTTCTACCGTGTAATTCATAGCTATATTCTTTGTGATTACAAAATTGTGTCCTTCTATCGGAAGATGATGATTCATAACATTCCTACACCGAAAAAACATGAAGAGCTGATCTCACTGCTTTAAATAAACGTTATGGTAGAGGGTCAGCAATTTCTGGAAGATCTTTGGAATGTTGACGTTGTTAGTGTCAACAGAAGAATTCCGTTGTTCCATAAGGAACGCTAGCATTGTTCTGTTTTACAACGACACCCATAATTATTTTAACGCTATTTTTTGAAGCAAACTATAAAACTTAGTGTGATATGCTAAATTACACATGTGTTTGTATATTTAACGAAGTATCAAAGCCACCAACTGCGCTTGTGGCGCAGAGGTCGGTGGTTCCGTGCGACACACACGTGGGATCGATCCCCGCCCCTGTGGCTCACCAAGCCTTCCATCCCTCCATGGTCGGCGAATTGGTACCAGATTTGTCTGAGAGGATAGCAGCACTGGTTCGATACATCAGTAGGCCATTGAGTTATTGTAAAGGCCAGATAAGCACTCAGTCACCTACAACGATACGTAATGATGTCGAATGCATGGTGCATCACTCAGGGATCGATCAACGTCGAGAACTTTATCTTTTTAGCTTTCTAGCTTTATCAAAGCCATAAATGTAACAAATAGAACTGGGATGGTTTTTTCCCCAAGTCATTTACAGAGTTTATTCATTTTCTTTCTCTTCTAAAGCTCCTCATTGCATTAGTGTTATTTCAAGTATGCTAGTTACTTCGGAGGAAATGTTTCGTAATTGAATTTTTGTTTAAGAAAAACGATTTCCTCTTAGAATTACATTGTTTCTATTTCTCAACGAAAGTGAATCAAAGCCAGTTCTTGGATATTCAGGAGGACGGGAAAATCCACGTAGTCGGTTGGTTTTTGTTTCTCGAAATCTGTGAGAAGATGGCTTACCTAAGTTTGATTAGTAGTATGTTTATGTATATTTATCCATAAATTTTTCCAGAAAGTCGTCCTAGCATAGATTTTGCTCAAGAAAAAATAACCGATAGATATTAGACGTCTGTTGAATAAGTCTGGTGTTTGTTCCTCTTCCCTTATGTAGGGTACGCATATTCAATAGACGGCGTCTCTTTGTTAGTAACGGCATGCTGCCAGTTTTTTCCTTCTTTCCTCTTACTTTACCCTTTTCCTTTCCTTCTCTCATTTGCCTTATTTCCTATGTTTCCCTATGCCTGTCTTTGTCTTCTATTGAAAATTCATAGCGAAAAGTTTTATCCAAGTACAATCTTCTATTAGATTTTCCCGTGATTCACAACAACGAAAACAGATTTCGAAGAATTAAACTTTCTTCTTGGCTTCAGTTTAGATTTATCGTCGTCTTCCTGACTTGCTAGGCACTTTTCTTTGGCTGATTTTTGCGTGTGCTTGCAGAAAGAAATAAGATTGCATTCAGTTTCAATTCTGATTTTGGCTCCCCAGATCAATCTTGTTGACGGGTGATTGCTGATGGCACTGATCGATAGAACTAGCTGAGAGGAGGGCGAAACGGGAGATCCGTATAGTGTGGTAGTGAATACGTTAGCCACTGGAAAGGGTAATAACGCGTTCTTTCCCTACTGCAGACACCTGCTGAACGGAGTTTTGCAAACATCTCAGCACTATTGTGGTTATATTACATTCAGTATTTATTCAGTCACATCTCCATGTTTGCACCTTGACGGAAGGAGTTTATTAAAATACTAACTGG